TCCCAAAAAAGATGGGGGGTTGCGTCCGATCATAGATCTCAGATATCTGAACCGCTCTCTGAGGAGATTCAGGTTCAAGATGCTCACTATTCCCATGATCGTGAGTCAGATCCAATCCGAGGATTGGTTCGTCACGATAGATCTGAAGGACGCATACTTTCATATATCCATCCTTCCATCCCACAGGAAGTTCCTGAGGTTCGCTTTCGGGGGCGAAGCGTACCAATATCGGGTTCTTCCATTCGGCCTAGCTCTCTCTCCCCGCACATTCACCAAATGTATGGATGTAGCTCTAGCACCTCTGAGGCTCCAGGGCATCAGGGTGCTCAACTATATAGACGACTGGCTGATTCTGGCCCAGTCTCAAGAGCTGGCGGTTCGGCATCGAGATGTTGTTCTTGCCCACATCCAGAAACTGGGGTTGAGACTAAACACGAAGAAGAGCGTGTTGATACCAGCCCAAAGGACTACGTTCCTGGGAGTGGTATGGGATTCGGTCGTAATGCGGGCACGATTGTCGCCTGCGCGAGTCGAGTCCATTCTGGCCACAGTGGCTGGGATAAAGCTAGGCCAAGCCGTCACTGTCAAGCATTTCCAGAGAGTGCTGGGACTCATGGCAGCAGCGTCCAACATCATTCCATTTGGCCTGCTGCACATGAGGGCCCTCCAGTGGTGGTTAAAGACCAAGGGATTCTCCCCGAGGGAAACCCGTTCCGCACAATCAGAGTTACGCGCAGATGCCTTCGTTCTCTGGTTATGTGGAAGAAAGCTTGGTTCTTGTCCCAAGGTCCAGTGTTGGGAGCGCCATGTCGCCGGAAAACCGTTTCGACAGACGCTTCCCTCACGGGCTGGGGCGCGGTCATGGACGGCCCTTCACGACAGGCCATCATTCCTCCTGGCACATAAACTGCCTGGAAATGTTGGCGGTCTCCCGGGCTCTGAGGAGCTTCCTGCCGGACCTCAGAGGTCATCACGTCCTCGTGAGGTCAGACAGCATGTCAGTGGTGGCCTATATAAACCATCAGGGGGGCCTGAGGTCTCGCCCTCTATGCAGACTGGCGCATCAGATCCTCCTGTGGTCCCAGGGGAAACTGTTGTCTCTGAGAGCAACATACATCCCGGGAAGTCTAAATCAGGGAGCAGACGTCCTGTCGAGACAGGGGCTGAGGCCCGGGGATTGGAGACTTCACCCCGAGGTGGTGGAGTCGATATGTCAGAGGTTCGGCCCTGTGGAAGTGGACCTGTTTGCGTCTCGAGAGACGACCCACTGTCCGCTGTGGTTTTCCCTCACCCCTCCAGCCCCACTGGGGCTGGATGCTATGGTGCAGACATGGCCGAGGCTGCGTCTGTATGCATTTCCCCTGATCGCTCTGCTCCCGGGAGTTCTGGAAAGGGTCCGTCACGACGGGATCAGTCTACTGTTGGTAGCCCCGTTGTGGCCAGCCCGAGTATGGTTCTCGGACATAATATTGCTCCTAGACGGCCCTCCGTGGGAGATTCCCCTCAGGAGGGACCTGCTGACACAGGCGGGGGGCTCAATATTTCACCCTCGGCCGGAGTTATGGAAACTGTGGGTCTGGCCCCTGAGGGGGCACAGTACCTAGAGGCCGGCCTGTCAGCTGGAGTAGTGGAGACCATACTCAGCTCTAGAGCTCCCTCCACGAGGAAACTGTATGGTTTAAAGTGGAATGTGTTTATTGATTGGTGTAGGAGGCGTGAGGTTGACCCAGTTAACTGCCCAGTGGCTTCAGTGCTGGAGTTCCTCCAAGATCGCTTCTCCTCTGGTCTTACCCCGTCCACGCTCAAGGTGTACGTGGCTGCCATTGCGGCTTTCCACGCTCCGTTGGGTGATGGGTCTCTGGGGAGACACCAATTGATCGTACGTTTCCTCTGTGGAGCTTGGAGGATGAGACCTGCGGCTCGTACCAGGGTTCCCTCTTGGGACCTGGCAGTAGTTCTAGAAGGATTGGCTGAGGCCCCCTTCGAGCCACTGGAGTCGGCTGAGGCCAAGAACCTAACGCTGAAGGTCGCTTTTCTGTTGGCCATCACTTCTCTGAGGAGGGTGGGAGATCTTCAGGCGCTCTCCATATCTAACGAGTGCCTGGAGTTTGCTCCAGGCAACATTAAGGCCATCCTTCACCCTAGGCCTGGCTATCTGCCTAAGGTGCCATCTAATGTGGCACGGCCTACGGTTCTGCAGGCATTTCATCCCCCACCTCACCTGACGGCGGATGAGGAGAGACTTCATAGGCTCTGCCCTGTCAGAGCACTAGGGATATATATTCAGAGGTCCTCTTCATGGCGGAAGGCGGACCAGTTGCTGGTATGTTTCGGGTCGCCCAAAAGGGGTTTCCGGCCTCAAAACAAACCATCAGCAACTGGATTGTCAATGCGATTTCCACAGCTTATCAGGTGCGCGGTATGCCTTCACCTTTGGCTGTGAGGGCCCATTCCACTAGAGGCATAGCATCCTCTAGGGCCCTTCTCGCAGGGGCCCCCATCCAGGAAGTCTGCGATGCAGCTGGATGGGCTACCCCACATACCTTCATTAGGTTTTACAGCTTAGACATTCCGTCGACACCCGGCTCTCTTGTGCTCGCGTCCTGAGTGTGCCTGTGAGCAGCTTCACACCAGGACAGGCAGGGCGCGTTGTGGCGTAGTGGGTACTCGTTCCCCCAAAGTGTCACTTGAACGCAGTTTGAGTTCCCTCGATAGGGAACGTCCTCGGGTTACGACTGTAACCCTTGTTCCCTGAGAAGGGAACGAGAACTGCGTCTCGTGGCCACGCCTTCCCCTGCCTGGGAGCGCTTGCTTCATCACAGAAGCTGACATGTTGTGTGTGCCGGTTCCTTATATATGCTTCCGCCTATGTGTCGTCACACATCACGTCATCACGTTGATCCAATCGGAGATTGGCTTAGTTTCATTCATGCTTCAGAGACGCTACGCTGAGGGGCGTTCCCCCAAAGTGTCACTTGGACGCAGTTCTCGTTCCCTTCTCAGGGAACAAGGGTTACAGTCGTAACCCGAGGACGTTTTTTCTGCTCTGTCCAAGTTATGTCTTTATGTCTAGTAGATCGATTTTGACGTGTTTATATTCGTATTATTCACATGTCTGCAGTGCAATTTTTGTAGTTTGAGTACTTTGATTGCTACCCCCAACATTTTTATTACCCCAACATATGTGATGCGTTCAAGGATGTTACATGATGTAATTTAAGCAAAGATCTCAGACTGATCTTTATTCTGCAGCAAGGCTCAAATGGTGGTGCAGCAGATGCTGCATCAGCTATTCAAAACATCATAGAGGTGCTCAACCAGTCGCTGGGTAAAACCAGCACAAGGCAGAGTCAGAATCAGGGGAATCAGAATCAGCGCTCAGGACAGTGCCAGACTGTGGACCAAGAGATGGCCAGGTTTCAGCTTGCAGTCATGATTGCAGTTGCAGATTGCAATGACAGTTACTATTTGCAATGCAATTTTGTTCACATGTAGCCTATGCATTTATCAGATGCTTTTATCCAAAGCAACTGGCATAAGCCTACATAGAGTAGCATAAGCAATCTGTCACAGAATGTATGTATGTATATATACCCAGATAGCAAACTGACATTGAATCAACGTGGAAACATGACATCGAAACAACGTTGATCTGACATTGTTTTGCTCATCGAATTAACGTTGAACCAACGTCAGACGCGTCATTCTTTCAAAACTAACGGAAAATCAACTTGAAATCAACGCGTTGTTTAAACGTTATGAAAGCAAACCAATTTTCGATTTTCATTTAGCTTTGAAGAATGCCGCGTCTGACGTTGGTTCAACGTTAATTCGATGAGCAAAATCAACGTTGTTTCAATGTCATGAGAGACGTCGTTTCCACGTTGATTCAATGTCAGTTTGCTGTCTGGGTATATATATATATATATATATATATATATATATATATAGTTCTAAATACTTGGCTTTTTTTTATTTAATCATCTCTTGAAAGTCTTTCCCAGGATTTTTTAAGCGGGGGTCCAAAAGGCGTTTACCCAGCTGTAGTAAACCAGCCAAGTTCATTAAAGCTTGGAAACCATTTGTGTTTTCAGTGTTTCTTTTAAATAAAAATGTAGAAATGACCCCTTCATCAGCGGAGGAGCTGCAACTCATGCAGGCTGGACTGGGGAAACGAAATCTCTCAATGGCTGATGATTTGACGCATTCAGAGGTTATGCATAAAATATTCATTCATAGCTGATGGATACAATAACTTTATTTGTAATAATAATTTGTTGTAATTGTGGATTTTAGGTTTCCAGCTTGTTTTGTTTTGTTTTCCCAAAATGAAGTCAGCATCTGGAGGATGGCTTCTCTACAAGGCATCTGGTACTATTTGGACACCACTACACGTTCTATTTGCAAGTTACAGAGATTCAGAGAATCACACAATGCAACTAGTTTCATGTATATTTTATTTGTTTATGTACGTTTAAATAGGTTGGTATAGTCAATATTCATGTTTTCAGCAATTAAACATCAAAGTGAATACCTGAGAATGAACAGCAAAATAATTAAATAGTACAAAAATGCTGATCATGTCCATATAATGAAATACTTTTTTTTTTGTTAAAAACAACACAAAAACACATTACTCCTCTCACGCTTTTGCTATTTGGTTAAAAACAAAATCTTATTTTGCATTTGACTATCAAAAAGTCTACGAGGGAGTAAATATGTGTTTTTAACCTCCAGTATCATCAAATGCCTTTATTATTGACTAATATCAGTGCATTACTAGTATGATTATCAGGGTAATTAATTTGATTAATTTCTTTTACAGTTTATTTTCGGTTTGTGAGGGTATATACATTTCTTTTTTCCATAAACCAGTTTGTAAGACTTTTAAAGGATGATATACAGTATATTGATGATGATGTTGTATAAAAGATTTACATAATAGGGTATATATATACAGTATATGTGTGTGTGTGTATGTATGTATGTTTTTATTTTATTCAGGTGGACAGGGAAGGCGGCGTCTTAATCTTGTTCCCCCGGAGTCTGACGGATACAGTGGCAGTACCATCAGATGTGCAACTGGAGGGGGGAAAACCATGCTGTATATTGTACCATTACAGGATGAGTTCGATCTTTCTCCTCTTCCCTCCGATGCACAGGAATTTTCGCTAATGCCAAAAGCAGAATGCAAGAAATGTTTTAAAATGATGCCACTTCAAATTCTTGCCCTGCATGTGAGGGAATGGGATACTCTGGAATATGAGACACTCTCAGATTCAGAACCAGAGGTAAAATCTTTGTGTTTTTTTAGGTTACCTTTTAAGTAACTTATGTAGGCTGTCCGGGCTGTTCCGATTCCCTCATGTTACGACTCGATACATATAGGGATGGGTATCATTAAGGTTTTAACGGTATTACTACTCTTACCGATACTGCTTATCGGTCCGGTACTTTAACGGTATTCTTATCGGTACTTTGTGTTGCTGTTTTTTTTTAAAAAAAGAACAAATTGAGAACAGAATTAACATTGCTTTTTATTTTTTGAACGTAAAATAAATACAACAATGATCTATAGTGAAATAAACAGCCATGTTTAAATGTACCAAAAACAAATGTATGTAAAACAAATGAAATAAACTATATTTTTCTGTAAAAGAACATACAGTGGTACAAAGCAACACGGGTGGGGTATGCAGGTATAGGCTGTAAAAGGACTTTTAACCATTTTTCTGAAGAAAGATTAACATATTTGCCTTTTCTGGCAAAAGACGGGACCTCTCCTGGCTTAATGTGTTCCCTGCAGTTGAAAACACCCTTTCACTTGGGGTGGAGGAGGCTTGAGCACAGAGGTAGCTTGTTGCAACATTTGTGAGGAGGGGCAGAATAGCTCTCTTCTCCCACCACCACATCACAGGATCTTCAGCCATAGTAATGGGAGGCAGGCTTTTGTAGAGCTCAACCTCTAGGTCAACACGTTCGCTAAGGGTGAGGGCCGAGGTATTCTGTTGGATGGTCAACCTCAATTTCCTGTCCTCCTCTGAGAACAGCTCCTCCAAGGCACTCCTTGTTTTGTGCAATGAAGGAATTGTCTCCATTTCCACACTTTCTCCTTCAGATGACTCTTCCTTTTGCTGGTGCTCTGTATCTGTATGTTCCAGCCCTGCTGGTCCTGTCACAGTGTCACTGTCAACAGCTTTCTTCCTCAGTCTGTCCCAAGTTGCATCACTGACTGTCCTCCCTTTGAATCTAGGGTCCATTGCTGTGGCCTCATGCAGGAAAGCTTGAATGTCATCATTCTGATATCGCTGGGAGAGGTTCTCCCACACCTTCTCTTTGATTGAAGCCACAAACATGGTATCCTCATCCTTCACAGTAAAATGGTCTTCCAGTTTTTGAAGGATGGGTAAGATCTGTCCACAGGTGGCATTCTTTTCACATGATACACACAATGTGGATGTATAAAGGATTTTCATGAGCTGGACAAACTCCTCAGCCTTATGGAAGTCCTCATCTTTCACACGGTCCAGGTTGTCCTTGGACAATGCTTTTCGCAGTCGTGGGTCCAAGGCTGCTGCTTGGATCGCTGGATACTGCTCCATAAATCTCTCTATCATTAGATATAGAGAGTTCCACCTGGTCTTGACATCCAGGATTAGTGAGTGTTGTGGAAGGCCTGCAACAACAACAAAACAACACACATTTAATTACCAAACAGGCAAACACTTGAATATTGAATTATATTGTTAGCTATGTGAATTTCAAAATAACAATTATAATATTAGATTGAACTGACTTACCAAGGAGGTTTTGTTTTTCTGTCAACACTGTTTTGGACATGGAGGACCTCTTGAACCACACAACCACTGCTCTGATTCGGGCTGCCCATTTATCAATGGATGCAATTTTGTAAATTTTCTGTGCAGCCAGATTTAATGTATGAGCAAAACATCCTATTTTTAGGATCTGTAGCTTCTTGATAGCAACATCCATATTGCCAGCATTATCAACAGTTACAGCTACAATCTTGATTGGCTCAATCTCAAACTCTTCCAGAATGTCTGAGATCTCCTCGGCCACTACTTCGCCAGTTTGGGATTTGTACACTGGCCTGGTGTGGAGAACCTTCTGTTTTACACTGCCCTGGCTTGTGTAATGCACTGTCACTGTGAGATAGTGATCCTGCCGGAGGCTGGTCCACCCATCTGATGTGATGGCCAGCTTTGGGACATCCTTTAGCTCACTGATCACATTGGCCTTTTCAACACCATACCATGAAGGAATTAATGTGTCACTGACGTAACTTCTGGAGGGAGGGGTATATTTAGGGTTAAGTGCCCTGCACATATCCCTACAATAAAAACAATTATAGTTTTAATTTATGTTATTATTAAATTATTGTGTTGTTGTTTATTGTATTGTGGCAGGATGGGGCTAAAATACAACCCTGTTTACAAAACATCTATATCCTAAAAATTAACATAACTATATACTGTGTTACTGACAGACTGTTTACCTAAAACAGTTGGACTCCACTGTTGCAAAGGGGTGTAGACCTTTAACAATGAACTTGGTCAAGGCTAAGTGGCAGTCGTTCACTCTCTCCTCGGGCATCCTCCCACTAGCTGCCAGGGTGAAGGGACTTTGGGCTTGTCTTAGACCAGAGGAATTAGGACTAGGAGTAGTTGATTGGTTCATAGTAGCTGCAGCTTTTAAAAAAATAAAAATAAAACAATAATAATAATAATAATAATAATATATATATATCTATATATAATAAAAAGTTGCAAAATGTGGACAATGTTTGATGAATTCATGTTCAAGTGAATAAGTTAATTCTGTGTCTGCATTTCATCATTACAAATTAATTTCTGGGTATAATATCTAAATATTATACATATTTTTTGTTAATGCACCAGTTCTAAATATTATATTTATTAATGCACCAATGTGAAGGCATTTTTTTAGTGTTTAAGATTGCAGAAACTACTGAATTTTCTTTTATTTGCGATTGTAAAAACAAACTGTAGAAAATATGCTGAATGCATAACACAATTTCTACCAAAATTAAATCAACATAATTTCAAAGTAATATAATCAAACCATTTTTGGAGATTGTACATTTATGTTAAATAGCGTGAACAACCTTGATTCAACATGATTTTAATGAGCAAAAATATGTTGGATCAATGTTGTCGGAGATTGTTGACATTGTTTCGATGACACGAGAGATCTCGATTATGCTATGATTTTGTGTCATTGTTATTTTTGAAGGCTGCTAGCATAGGCTACATACCTGAGGCAGATGGGTCAACCACAGACGAGCTAGCCAGGCAGTCGAAAACCTTGCATTTCTCTGTCTGCACATAATGCACCTTTGAAAGATGCTTTGACAGATTGCTTGTGTTTCCGCCCTTACATGCAAACATCTTGTTGCACTTCTGACAACGAGCGTTGTCTGTGTCAACTCTCGTGAAGTATAACCACACTTTTGAACGTTTTGTTCTCTCTGCCATCTTAATTCTTTGGATTAAGCGGGAGTTTTCGTCTGTTGTGTGTGTGAGGGTTGCGCTCGCTGTTGTGTGTGTGCGCCGCGCTCGCTGTTGTGTGTGACAGACAGCCTGCGCGGAGTCCGTGCACGAGAGATCTCACTTCTGAATTGCGAATAATAAAAATACAGACAAATCTCTTAATATGATCGCAAATCAGAAATGTTTGGTGAGATAAAATGTGCAGGATAACATCATTAAGCAATAAGAAACTGCAAATATATATTTTTTAATTTCTCCAGTACCGAAAGTAGAACCGATAGCGTCAGATCTTATCGATACTACGGTCTTTCATAATTTAGCACCGGGGCCATTTTAATACCGGGTTTCGGTACCCATCCCTACTCCTACTACAGTTTCAGAGCTGCGCTCATTCCTTGGGTTCGCCAGTTATTATCGCCGCTTTGTGGAGGGTTTCGCTAAGCTGGCGGCTCCCTTACATAAGCTGGTGGCTCATCTGGGGGCCGCGAAGTCTAAGAGAGTGACAGCGCAGGCTACCATTGAGAACTGGACCGCAGAGTGCCAGAGCAGTTTTGAAGCACTGAAAGTTAGGCTCACAAGTACCCCTGTGCTCGCATACGCCGATTTTTCGCTTCCTTTTATTTTAGAGGTGGACGCAAGTCATGGCGGCCTAGGAGCTGTTTTATCACAAGAGCAGGATGGTAAAGTTAAGCCCATAGCTTATGCAAGTCGGGGTTTGAGGCCTACGGAGCGTAATATGGTGAACTACAGCTCTATGAGACTGGAGTTTGTGGCACTTAAGTGGGCTATGACGGAGAAATTTCGGGAATACCTGCTGGGCCACAAGTGTGTGGTATTTACCGATAACAATCCGCTTAGCCACTTGTCATCTGCTAAACTTGGTGCCACTGAGCAACGTTGGGCTGCTCAGCTGGCATCGTTTGATTTTGAGGTAAAATATCGTTCGGGGCAGAAGTAATAAGAACGCAGATGCTTTATCTCGTCAACATCCTCCTGGCCCAGCAGATATGGAAGCTATGCTTCCTGGGACGTCATTGCCCAAGCCTTTGCAGCAGGCTCTCCAGGGCACTCAGGCTGAAGCAATTCAAACGGCCGTCATGGCTCTGCCTCACCATACCACTTCTGATATGTGTGCTCTCCAGCAGGCTGATCCATGTATTCAGGAGGTTTTGGGGTTTTGGAGACGTAAGCAACGCCCCAATGCTGAAGAGCGTCAAGGGTTGACTCAGCCTGCACTAGTGCTGCTCCGCCAGTGGGACCGGTTGGAGGAGAGAAGTGGCGTTTTGTATCGCCGTGTGTTTCGCCCTGACGGCGCGGAGGTGGTCTTGCAGGTAGTGGTGCCAGTTTCCTTAAAAGAAGAGGTGTTAACTAAGGTTCACCAGGAGCATGGCCATCAGGGTATAGAAAGGACGTTAGAGCTTTTACGTCAGCGCTGTTACTAGCCGGGTATGTCTGTGGACGTGTCAAAGTGGTGTCAGGCATGTGAGAGGTGCCAAGTTGCCAAGGACACTCGACCTCCTAATTCCAGTCTGATGGGACACTTATTGGCCTCTCGGCCTAACGAGATATTAGCCATTGATTACACCATGTTGGAGTCTACTCAGAGTGGTATAGAAAACGTATTGGTCATGACCGATGTTTTCAGTAAATACACCCTTGCTGTTCCCACTTACGATCAACGAGCTTCCACCGTGGCTCAAGCTTTGGTGGTAGAGTGGTTCTCTAAGTTTGGTGTCCCCGCTCGTATCCATTCTGATCAGGGCCGTAATTTCGAGAGCTCCCTGATCCAACAGCTGTGTCGACTTTATGGCATTGAAAAATCTCGCACCACGCCATATCACCCGGCCGGTAATGGCCAATGTGAACGGTTCAATAGGACGCTCCATAATTTGTTGCGCACCTTGCCAGCGTCTCGGAAGAGGGACTGGAATTCTTGTTTGCCACAGGTCCTTTTCTCGTATAACACCACTCCCCATCAGGCCACCGGTGAGTCTCCGTTCTTTTTAATGTTTGGGCAGGAGCCTAGACTACCCGTTGATTTCCTCTTGGGTCGGGTACAGGATCCTGTGGGTGGCAATGTCCATGAGTGGATTCAGGAGCACCAGACTCGTTTACAGTTGGCCTTCGAAGGTGCCACAGAGAGGTTACGGGTTGCTGCACAGCGTCGTAAACACAACCATGATCGGCGGGTGAGGGATGTGCCTTTTAAGTTGGGCCAGTTAGTGTGGCTTCGTGACTTCTCGGCACGGGGCCGTCATAAGCTCTGCGACCTTTATGGTCCAGTACAGTACAGAGTCCTTAGAGTACCTCGAGAGGAGGGCTCAGTGTATACAATTGCACCAGTGGATGAACCAACCAAAGTTAAGCAGGTTAATCGTGCATTGTTGAAGGCAGTGGTAGTAGGGTCTCCTTCAGGTGGGGCTGCTTCACCTTGTTCCCCTCCTGCGGACCAGCCGCTGCTTGAGGATGAGTCAATAGAAGAGGATCTATTGGTGTGGAGACATGATGCCCCTCTGGCAACTCCCACTCAAGTGTCTGATTCTCAACGCTCCACCCGGGCACAGCTTTTACCAGTTATTCCAGTATCTATCAGGCAAGACTTGTTAGTGCCTCCTATTAACAGTGCAGCGGAAGGATCCTCTGCACCTCCAGTTCATTTGCCTAGAGCTGCCCCTGCAGTCAGTGAAGTGGCTATACGTCGAACAGCACGGTCAACTGCGGGTCAACATTCTAATGTTTATCACCTTCCTCGACCTTTAGCGCCTACGGGCAATGCGGCCGATCCTTCCGGCCCTGGGTCCAATGCGATAACGGCTCTTTTTCGACCTTGGAATTAGTATGGGATATTCTGGTTTTATTTTGTTTTTTTCCCGTCGTCGGGTCGACGATCCAAAAGGTGGGGTAGATTGTGGCAGTACGAGTTAGTCTAATGAGCTGGTGTTCCCTTGGTCACTCCCCGTGTGAAGCTCCCTCCTATAAATAGCGCGTAATCCTTCTGACGCCCTCTCCTGCTCATCGGTGACCGGAAGTTGCGTTGTGCGTCCGGGTCCCTCTCTCCGTGTGTGCGTTGTTGCGCTAACAGGTAGGGTAGTGGCTTTGCTGTCTCCGTGCGAACATTGTTTCCTGCCGTCTTGCTTACTAGTATTATGTGGTTACTGGCGTTCGTAGATCTCCGGCCGGATGGACGAACTCTCATCTCGTCGTTCAATTCATTGAACCACTGAACACACTGCATTATCAGTGCCGTGGGCACTCGTCGAGCTTTCTCCCTCGGGTACGTCTGAACGATGGGTATGTATCTCAGATGACGTGGGATTTATATCTAGTTTCTTATTAATTGGGGGTTAATGGTAGTTTTTCTTTGTGTAGCTAACAGGAATGAGGCCAGTTTAGCCGGAGATCATCACTAGCTGCACAGGACCGATTCGCTGGCTGCTGTTTTGCTTTTGCCTATTTGCCTGACAACTATATTGTGCCTTTTTTTTGCCTTAAGGTGCTGTACATTTCCGTGTTTTATTTATGTCTCTGTTTGCCACATGTGCCACTTTGCCCGGGCCACCGCCTCATTTGTGTAAATAGCATATCAGCGACTGATCGCTGTATGCTCGTCGATCACGGCCACCGGGTAGTTACGGCTGTCTGGCCAAGAGTATGTGGCATTTGGTTCGTGAGTGCTATTGTTTTTATGATACGTGATTAGCTCAAGGGGTTTGGGGCTTTATATTATAATTTTGTCAATGTAAGAAGTTTGTTTTTCTGGGTTTGCTTTCTTTTGGTTTGTTTGTTTTGATTCCAATTTAGATTAAAGTTGTATTTATACTTCAATTTGATTTATTTTTTTTTGATTTACTGGGTTTGTGTATATATATATATATATATATATATATATATATATTTATATATATATATCTTTCTTTATACTGCTGTATTATAACCATTGTTGGTTTTGGCAGTCATTTTTTGTGTTTTAAGTTTATTATTTTGATTTACTGAGTTGGGAAATATTTAATTGTTTGTTTCTTGTGATATTTCTACTGCCTTTGTAAATCCATTGTAGGTTTCGGCAGTTATTGTTTATATTTTGTGAAGGTTATTTTGATTTTGATTTTCTTTGATTATTGAATTGAGAACATTTATTTATTTGTTTATTTTCTTTTGATATTTTTA